CCAGAGGATTATCTTGAGAAAGACTTTGAAGGAAGAAAAAGAGACTGATCTTTGCCAGCAGATGGTATACCACAGAATATTTGGTAGGCAGGGCTGAATTGAGAAGGTTTATGTGTGAGTTGTGTGCTGGGCATTTGGTTTTCAACAGTTTGAGTAGTTGACCTGTAAATATTTTCTCAAAAATATTTAAAACCATACTGTCTCTGTTATAGTCAAAAACAAAATTATAACAAATATTTTGAACATTATCTTTAAAATTCAGTATTTTGAAATTTTGAAAGTTTATTAACTGTCAAGAACCGTGGAGTATGAGCAAAAATTTTTTAATATGTAAAGTAAATGTTTGTGAAAAAATGTAAAAATAAATTAATGATTAAAAAATAATAAAATAATAAAATTAAAAAAAAAAAGAAACTCACTCCAGGCGCATGTGTGTGCATGACCAAAATCCCGAGAGGAGACTGGAGAAGAAGGGATTGCAGCATGGCCATCCCCTCTGGGGGGTGATTTCTAGTTTTCTGACTCTCTGCCTCTCTCTGTCTCTCTGGCAAATGCACATGCCCTATAGCAAAAATCTCTCCTAAAGAAAAGAGATTATCTTTGTTTTCAGAAGTCCATCCTCATTAGTTTATGGGACTTTTTTTGTTAATTGCTAATTACTTTGTTTTTCTTTATGATAGTATTTCACAATAAAGAACATAATTGACAATTTAATATATACTTCCAAAATAACTAGTAGAGTGAATTTCAAATGTGTACTACATAGTGTAATGTTATACGTTGAAGGCGGTGAATATATTTATATCTTCAACTTGCTTATAACACACCATATACATACTTAAAAAATCATACTGTACCCTATAAAGAATGTAAATTAGAAATTGCAATTAAAAATAAATAAAAACTGGGGTTCCCCCTACCACAACACACACACACACACACACACACACACTAAGGGGACCAGCAGATGGTGTAATGGTTATGTCATTGAATTTCCCCATAGTCAACCATTGTTAAAGTCCCAGATCCGACAACTTAAACTCACGCTGGGTGCCATGTGCATGTGTGCCAAAGATCCTGAGAGGAGAATGGAGGAGAAGAGATTACGGCATGGCCGTCCCCCTGGAGGTGATTTCTTGCTTTCTTTCTCTCTCTCTGTCTCTCTGATGAGCACATGTGCCCTGTAGCAAAAATCTGTATTACAAACAAAAACAAAAAGACTGGGCATATGTGCCCAAAATCCTGAGAGGAAAACAGAGAGGAGACTGCAGTGTGGTCATGCCTCTGGAGGGGCGAAGGGGGATTGCTCACTTTCTCTCTCTCTCTCTCTCCAGTGAACACATGCCACACAAGCCCTTAGGCAAAAAAAAAAAAAAAAAAAAAAAAAGAGAGAGAGAGAGAGAGACCCAAGAGATCTAACATGTCAGCCAAATGTGATGAAATGTGAAGTATGGCTCTGAACTATATTCTATTCTGGAAATTTTAGGAACATTTTGAGGACAATTGGAGAAGCTAAAAACTGGGGATAAGAGAAAGGTAGGATAAGTATTCATGGATAATAAAAGATAGCTAGTATCAACTTAAAAATATTATAAGACTAGCTCCATTGCTTAGTGGTTAAGGGAGCTGGATCCCACATAGCTGACTGCAGTTCAAATCCCTGGTGGCTTTAAAAACATGCTGGGTGAGTGTGCGTGTATGCCCCAAATCCAAAATCCCAACAGGATGGAGAATGAAGGAGGAATTGTAGTGTGAACACACCCCACTGGGAGGTTGGGAGGTACTCTCTCTCTCTCTCTCTCTCTCTCTCTGGCAAGTGCATGTGCCCTCTCACCTAATTTTAAAATCCTGCAAATAGCAAAATAGCAGCCTCAGTTGGTAAAAGTATATGTACACACACACAAAGATATGGAAGGACAAATAAAAAGAAACTGTCAATAATACTTTAGGAGGTCAATATATATTGTTTTCTTTTTTCTTTACCAGTATTTTTTCTTGATACACATATGTTGATTTTATAATAATAGATACATTTTAATTAAACACCTAATTTTAAAATGAAGCATGAAGAGATAAAGTAAAAATTAATGAGGAAAAATGACAGTTATAATCAAAAGAATCGGGTCTTCCTGCTGCTGCTGCTCACTGTTATATAGCGATGGTATTGAGGGTGGGGTACACATACACGCACACTCGGGTGGAGTTCAGGCGAGGGAAATAAAATATACATATATTTTTTCTTTTTTTTTTCTGAGAGAGATTTTTTGCCATAGGGTGCATGCACTCTCCAAAGAGACAGCGAGGAATCACCCATATTACTTTTTAATGGGGAAGGGGGGCACTGACAATGCTTACAATTCTCAGAGATCTAAGGGGAGGGACAAGGTGGTGATTAGTCCCCGTATGCAGAGTCAGGCTAACACTCTAGTGTTTAGTAGCACAGACAAGGCAGAATACACAAGTCCCAAATCCAGAATAATACATATAATACATTTTCAGAAAGTGCCACCACTAGGACATAGAAGAAGGTAACGGTGCTTCACATGCTTACCTCCAAATCCAGTGGACTCCCCTCCACCCACCCTCCTGCCCCCGCCTAATCTCAGCTGTCAGCATTCCTCAAAGAATCAGAGTGAACTAGCAGGCCCTGGTTTGAGGGGACACAATAACTACCCAGAGAACAAGATGCCTCAAATTTGGGAAAACGCATGGAAAGAAGAAGCAAATTCAGGGGTAGATGAGGGAGCGAATCCTCCTAGCTTTAGAAGTTTCAGTTCTAAGAACGAATTTCTGTAGCAGGCAACAGGTTCTGAATTGCAAGGAGTTCAGTAAATAAACTACTGCTGACAATGAGTGCCATATGTCTCTTATTAAAAATGGATTCCAGGGAACCTTGATCAATAGACAAGATAGCAAAAGGGAAAGGAAGTCCGGGCTACTGTCTGCGGCAGTTGTCTTGCTAAGGCAACTTTGAGCAGATTCCCAGCAATGTAGAATCTTTTAAAGAAACACCTTATTATTCTCAAAAAGTCATGGATGGATTCCGCCCCCAAATCCACCCATCCCCAAATCAGGTTCAAAGATCTACTCTTTTTTTTTTTTTTTAAGAGGTTTCTGCTATAGGGCGTGTGCGCTCGCCAGACAGACAGAGAGACAGAGAGACAGAAAGTGAGAAATCACCCCCTAGGGGGGATGGCCACGCCGCAATCCCTTCTCTTCCATTCTCCTCTTGGGATCTTGGGCATGCATGCACATGTGCCCGGAGTGAGTTTAAGCCACCGGGTCCGGGATGAGAACCATGGTTGACTACATGGGAGTCCAGCAACATAGCCACTATGCTAACTGCTGGTCCCAAGACTACTCTTTTTTTTTTTAGAGGAAGAAGTTTGCATTTAAGCTCCAGCTGCTAGAAGTTCCCTCCCTCAGCAGGACAGGTTGGGTAGCCTGCCTGGCAAGGTTGGGTAGCCTGCCTGGCAAGAGCAGGCATTGTGTGTGTCATGAGGGGTGGATCCATTTCTTACAGAGCTTGCATCTGGGAAGGGATAGGCCAAGACAGGGAGCTCGGCATTGATGACAGCACACCCGGATTGCAAATCCAGAAGTATTTGAACAAGTTATCAGGCTGTACTGATTGGACCATGCATTTGCTTTGAATTCCTTAGGTGTGTTTCACAAGGTATTACACTTATTCCTATGCAAATTTTCCCTACTTTCGTGACTAAGAGCTATTTGATTGCCCAGCAGTAAGGAGTCCTGGTGAAGAGAAAACACTGCAGTTGTCCCATTCCTAAAATATTCTGAAAAGTAAGATGAGAAATAGAGGTGACATCTTCAATTGTCAGGCAAGAAAGATTGGACAGGTCAAAGTGGTAAGAGGGTATTTTTCTTTCTTTTGTTCTGAATTGCTAAAGGGCATGTGTGCTTTCCAGAGAGAGAGAGACAGAGAGGGAAAGAAAGGACTCCCAATGAGGCACACATTACCAAACCCCCTTTTCCATTTCCCCATCCTGTCAGGATTTGGAGCATGCATATGCACACACCTGACAAAGTTTTCAAGTGGCTGGGGTCAGGATTTCAACCATGGTTGGCCATGGGGATCCAGCTTCCTTAACTACTAGGCTGTGGGGCCAGATGAAGGGTTTTTTCAAAACACAAAATATGGCCCCTGTGGTGGCATGCACCAGTAAACACTGCTACATCATAGGCTGAGGCCACATGGAAGGTGTAGTTTCAATTCCCAGCCCACCCGAAGAGCTGTGCTCAGTAGTGTGTGCCTGAAGTCCCTCCTACTCAGCAGGGTGAGGCAGGATTGTCTCAAGGAGAGAGACCCTGCTCAAAAAAACAAAATCAAAACAAAATGAAAGTCATAAAATTTAAAAAGCTAATGTTTACAAGTGGGAAAAGAGGCAAGATGTTATAAAAGAATTTAAGAGTACTTATGGAATGGTGAGTATGAGAGAAACCCAGTGTGATTGCCTGAACTTGAACACTGAAAATATTAAGTGATGGATTAAGAGAGAGAGATAAACACAACTAGAAAGCCAGATATGAGGACTTTGGATAACTATTTGGGATCTTCTGACAGTTTTCATTCAAATATAATGTTCCTTTGCTGGATCATCTTAATGATGGATGACCAAGAGGTGGAAAAAAAAATATATATCAGCCCAAGAAAGAATTGAGAGACCTGGTTGGCAGGAGTTCAGAGACTGGGCACTGTTCTCCCAGCCCCAGATCCCCAAAAAGCTCAGGTTACTCTCACATGGCACTAGGTACACAATCCACTGGCTGTGATGGCTACTGGGCTAAATTCCTTCGATTCTTTCAGAAGGCCTCCAGGAAGACCTTCTGGGCCTTGGTTTTTTTTTTTTTTTTTTTTTTTTTTGCTGCAAATTGTCCTGGAGACTTCTCCAAGCTTCTTCGAACATTTACACAAAGCTCGGGAGACCTGAGGGGAAGTTTCTTTGGTGACATTTCAGAAATTCAAGCCACATACATACCTCATCTCCATGCATGTTTGCCACATATTTGAACTCTGGAATCCCGATTCTGTGTTCCTTTGGAAATCGCCCCACGACAAGAACCCAGAGATTTCTACCTTTACAGGAAAGAAAAAGAAAAATAAGTTGTCTCTTCAAATGACAAATGAACTCTGGGAGAATGAGAATAGGAAATGAACGATGCTGCATCTCCTATCTGATTACTTTAACATGTCATGGTGACTTAAGTTCATAATGACTAACATTTCCGTGCTACCAGTACTCTTTGTTTACTGCCAGGGTCTAAAGGAAATCCTTTCAATTTAGCCTAAATATTTAACTAGGTATTTTAGAATCTGGTTTTTAAATATTAAAGACAATTAGGCAACATAGGCCTTGTTTTTCCAAATGCTTATATGCTTTGCTCTGAGGTGCTAGAGACTCATCAAAATGATCTTGTTCCTTCAAAAAATGATCTTGTCAATTAGACAAAGTTAAATGAGAGTTGATGGTTGACGGGGAGGATGCCAAAACTCACTGTGCAAGGAAAGTGAAAAAAGCAAGAGCAATAAAACGTGTAACTCAGAAAAGAGATTGTGGTTAAAGTGAGAAATCCTGAGTCTTGGATTCAAACGCTGGTGTGACATGGCCCCTTTACTGTGTCTTCGATGTGCATGAGTTCTGTCAAGTCAGCTAGGTACCACAACCCATCGTAATAACGCCAGGAAAACGTCTAAGTACTAGTTCTGCCATAGACTGTGTGACTCAAGCAAGGAAGGGCAAAGGTGATGTTGAGAAATTGCTTTGCATAGACATTACACTTGGTCGGTACAATCTCAAGTAATGTCTTGTCATGATCCACTTAGATAGACTGAGTGGACTTCATAAAGTTCCCTGAAAAATGGAATTAAAGTATGAGTTCATTTTAGTTCCCAAATTTAAGAATTTATGCATAGTTCATAACATACATTTTCTCTGAACTTTTGAAGACCCTCCCCTCATATTAACCAAACTTTTTTTTGAAACCTACAATATCATTTCTACATATGAACAACAAATAATTGAAATAGAAATTTAAGAAATTATTATTTGTAATAACATCAGAAATAAGAACTACACAGGAAAAAATTATAATACATATAGAAGATCTGTACACTGAAATCTCTAAAATACTAACTGTAGATATTAAAGACCTGAATAATTATGAAAAGATATACCCTATTTAGGGATCCAAAGGCTCAATATTATTAAGATGCCAGTCCTTCCCCAAATTGTACTATAGATTCAATGTAATCCCATTCAAAATACTAGCAAGCTTTGTTTTTCCTTAAATTTTATTTATCATTATTATTTTTAAATTTGCTACAGGGCACATATGCTCACAGAGAGAGAGAGAGAGACAGAGAGAGAGAGAAAGCGAGAAAGTCGACCACCAGGTTTGGGACTCAAACTGTGGTCGGCCAAACTTTACAATGGAAAAACTGATCTTCAATAATATTAAGCAATTCAATGATTATATGTAAATTTAAAACTTAAGTAAATACAAACTCTAATTTTCCAAAAACTGTAACAGCAATAAAAGTTAAGTAAACTGTTTATGAACTCATAGCCAGGACGAGGCTGTGATTCAAGCTTCAGAGGCAAGAATTGAAACCTGCCCCTCTTTACTTCAATCCTACCGCTCCTCCCAATAACAAAAAACTGCCTGTCTTTCAAGAGGCTTGGTTTTGAAACCAGTAAAAATAAAAAAGTCCCTTTCAATTCTAAAATTGGCTCTTTTCGTACAGGCTAAAATAAGAGATTGGGGTATGCTTGATATCTACCATGTATATACAGAGTTTACATATCTGGGTAATTAAGACGTATGTGGAATTTAAGAGCCAGGACAGGAATTTAACAGCAACTCATGGGTTAATGTTGAGCGGGTATCTGAAGAATTCAGTTATAGTTCCATAAATGAGTGGTTCTGCAGGATGGGGAGCACTTAATAGCCATGAGGAACCTAAGAAGAAGCAAATACTAGACTTCACTTTTTCAACATTTATTCATAATTTATTATAGCAATATTTTAGGGAAATTGGTCAAGATAGGGTGATGCTTCAATTTAGAAAATACTCACAAAATCCAGTTAACCTGACTGATGTCCCACATTCAGTGCAGATTCACAATTCATTCATACACCAATTAATTGAATACTACCATATTTAGGCATTGAACCTGGTTCTGGACTACAAATAAGTCATGTGCTCTATGCCCAGTGAACTTCTTTCTTTCTATTTTTGGTTTTTTTTTGGAGAGGTTTATTTTTTTTTTGCTATAGGGCGTGTGCGCTCGCCAGACAGACAGAGAGAGACATAGAGACAGAAAGCGAGAAATCACCCCCCAGGGGGGATGGTCACGCCGCAATCCCTTCTCCTCCATTCTCCTCTCGGGATCTT